TTTTTTTAAAATTAAGTTAGCAGCTAGCAAATTATATTACAGCAACGGCTATATTTCTTAGGGAATTCAAAAATACTAATGTATAGACATCATTTGTGAAAATAAAGAATGCAATTCCTTCCAGAAGGGAGCAAATATAATTTATTAGTTGTTTAGTTCTAGTTTAGGATAAGGAATATGGAAAGGCAGAGGAAAGGATGAGAAAAATTTCATATGTACATAGCCAGCAGAACCAGACCAATCTTCCCCCAATTTCAGCCTCCAATCATGGTTCTATGCTAGCAAGAGTACAATCACCAATCACCATTTTAACTGTAGCAGCTGGCATTTCTGTATTTTTGTTGGAATGGAAGCAATTAGACATGCAAATGTAGTTCATAAAACAGTTCAAATACACTCAAGGTTTTCCAGGGCTTAATCTACTGTTATAAAACAGCTGTGAGTTTCACAGCTGAAAAGCAACACAGAAATATTTAAATTGATCTACATCAGATCAAACTAACTAGCCTGATATTATAGTGGATGAAAAGTAGGATGTACTGTATATTCTTGAGTAAATACTAGTGCATAGAAGACTGGCCCTAGCAGAGATAATACAAATATGTATAAGGAATTTATTTTTGTATACTTGTCAACTTGGCATTTTTTTTTATCATATTAGGTGTAACCTTCATTTTATTATCTCTCTAGTATTGTGATTGGCAGATGTTAAGGGACAGTCTACTTAAAATTCCATTTTATTTTCATTTCCTGATCCCTTTATTTAGAAATGTTGAAGCTTCAACTATTGTAAAACCATGACATCCTTGCACTTGGTTCTTAATTATGGTTCCTCTTATAGAATGCATTGTTATCTCAAGAAACAAAATGTAATTCTATAGTGTCATCAAAGTACATAGCTTGTTACAGAATAACATAACCAAAACAATACGGTTTGCTAGATTTAACATTGTTTCAGTAGAGGGAAGATAACAAAGAAGCAGCAAAGGAGACCACAACTCATAGGTGAACATGCAGCTAGTTATGCTTATCCTCTATTTGCTTTAGGAGGGAAGAAAGAGAGTGGGTGACTATGTTATACAGCATGGATCTCTAACCTTGGCAACTTTTAAGACTTGTGGACTACAACCCTCAGATTTCTGGGAGTTGAAGTCCACAAGTTGCCAAGATTGGAAATCTTTGCTTTACAGTATAACTCATAAATAATTGTGAAAGATTGGTGTCCATATTTGTTACTAACACCAAGTACAAGGCCAATAATAGCAAAAGGAGTGGTACATATTCAGGGAAAATAATAATGTTCAGATAATATTTATCCTGAAAAAATGGAAGACTACGTCTTCTGTGATGCACTGGTCCAAGAAGGTACTAAGCTATGAGTTCTAACTCATCATCTGACACCAATGGGGCTAGAGCATAGGCTAACCTTCAACACTGCCAGAGGCATACAATCCAACAATATAACATTTTTTGCATGAATAAGTATGTTTAATTTTTCACATCACAACTCAAAAGGATCTTATATCAAAGATCTAGGAGAGGATGGGCACAATTCCCCCCCCCCCCCGTAGAATAGTTATGGGTTAAAGTGCAAGTATACCTTTCAGCTTTCCAACATGGTGGTATTTTCTATTCTAAAATGGAGATATGTGGACTAGTGTTCCATTTATTAACAGTAAAGTAGCCTACTTCTCATCTTAAACATTTATATATCTATTTCCCACTGTCTTAGCCAAGAAATATGAATGAGTAGCTAAATGTTACTATCATATACATTTATGTAATTGTATATTATTTTTATCTGCACTAACAAGTTTAAAGTACAAATGGATATTTATAAAAATTCTCTGCTTAAGATTTTTAGGCAGCAATTTACGCATAGTTCCAATCCATAATACTGCTGAAGGTGTTAAATTAATGTTGACCATAGCAAAGGTAAGTGCAGAATTTGTATTTTAAGAATTTTGTTTTTACATTAATAAGTAAATATAAATATTTGCACTCAAACAGATTCATTTGTTGTACAGTGTCTTGAAAGTAACTGCACGATGCCGCCACAGTAGATTTCCAATTTCAAAACTGCTTTTTGTTACAAGGATATTTTAATATATGCTTTTAAGAGCAGATAGTATTGAATTATTTCTGTTTAGATCACATTATTATAAAATCAGAATTAAGCCTGAGAGTTCAACCACTTGAGAAAATGGCACTTATAGAACTTTTGCTTGGATATTGGATGGTAAAATCCTCCAATCCTTCTCAACTGTTATGACATAATACATAAATGATTATCATAACCTATTGTATTTCTCTCTTACTGGAAGACTTATTCAAAACCCTATCTGGACAATGTTCACTACAGAATGCTAATGGCAAAGACACAGATTATAGAACAAAGCCCTGTTTGGAAAATGCTTCATCACAATCAACTGCACTGAAGTTAAACACCATCCAAACTGTTAAAAAAATTGACCTTTATTTTCTGCTTTAAAAAACATACCCACAAAAAAAATCAGAACACCTGTCTGAAAATACACTTTAACAGATATATTCAGAATAAAAAATTCTCTGTAATTAGATGTTTAATCTCCGGTACAAAGAAAGGAACGTTATCTTTATATACTTTCCTTTCAATAAACAAAAGAAGGACAGATATAAACCACAACTTGTAAATAAGAATATCAATACCTTCTAATTAAGTTTGGGGGGGAATGGTCATTATTCAAAAAGAGCAATTAATAGACATGATTCTAAATTTAGAGTTTTACATCACAATAGTTTACTCACTTCTATTTTTGCTTTTTGATAATTCTTATTCTGTATTTTAGCAATGTTGTTATTTTTCTTCTCTTTGTATTACTATACAATGGGGATTTGTATCGTACAGATTGAAATTTATGTAATAAGAATAATCTTTCCAACACATCTGTATATAATAAGCCTGTGACAAAGATAGGAATTAAATTATAAGCAGCTTTTGTCAATTTATTCACTAGTATGAGACTTAATTCTATAGGATTAAATCCAGAACCAGCTGGATTCTGTTAATAGAGAAAGTCCTACTATTCATAGAACAAATTACAATCTAACTGAGACTTGCGGCTAGAAGGGGAAGGGTCAAGAGAAAGTAAACAACTTTTGCCAATTATCTTCCACCCCTTCCATTGTGTTTCTCAAACTGCCCTGGAGGATCTCACCAATTCTCTGCATCTGATTTTTATGGGATTCAAGCAGAACAATAGTTTCCCTCAATTTTTAGTAATCCGTCTAATCATAAATCTTGTGAATAAAACTGATTGTACCAAGTAATACCTTTTGTACTTTTTGCTTACTTTTATATTGGTACTTTATTTCATAGTATGCCTTTATAAATAGGTAGTGTTACATAAAACGTTAGTGTGAAACTGCATGGTGATAGATACCTGCGGTTCTGACATTCAAAATATAACAAGAGCACAATATAATCCTGGGACTAACGTCTGAAGGTTTAGGAGGAAAGATATATTCTAAAACCTCTCTAGAAGTCTGTAATAATTATTATTTTGCATTTTTTAAACAATTGGCATGTTATATTTTGGTCAGTCCGACTTAACAAGTGAAATACTGAAATAAAGATTTTATTTGACTCCAGTGGTTTCTTCAGTTGCAGCCTTTGTTTTCAATGAGTTCTTCTACCCTTGCCAGAACACTTTCCATTAAATCAAATGTGAAAAGTGCAGAGTGAAGAGCCTGAAACAGATTGACATTACAAATTTAGAAGTATCTTGGGAATACTGATGTATCAAATCCTTAAGTAAAAGGACACACACATTTTAGTAGTTTCCCTAAAAACAAATTACTCACTTGAAGCTCCATGTCCTTTGTAATTCCTGACATCTTTGCTTCAGCTACCAACTGAGCACAAGTCTTTTTAGAACTGCGAGGCCGTGCTATGGAAAAGAATAAAGGTTATTAATATATAACTCCCTGTACCTTCACTTTGGCTTGAAACTCACTATATTTAAGTATCCCCTGCAGTCAACTTTACCTGGCATTTCTTAGAGGACAACTCTTAACATAGAGCTAGTTTTCATTCATTCATTCATTCAGTTTCTATAGCCACCCATCTCAATTGAATCTGGATGGCAAGTTGTTTGGTGTGATGATGGGAGATTGTAAGTGCTCCTTTTGGCATGGAAGTTGATCAGGTAACTCTGGGGCATTTATTATGTACATCATCTTGAATTGTACAAAATAAAGGCAAGTGTAAACCAATGATTGTACGTGCATGCTATTTTTTACATTTTTGTTCAGTTGATCATTTATCTATAACTCTTTTGCACAATGTTTTCCTGGGAGTATGTGTAACAGTTTCTTTGAGTCCTTGTAAATTTACACTTGTGTCTTCAATGAGAGTAACTAACCCTCCTCCTTGTTTTCTGTCAGCCTCTATTTAACTTAATTTATTAAATTTGTTATTCATTAGCTGCTGACTCTATAGATTGTTTTTAGTACTTTCCAAGCATTAGAATCTTCACTGATGGCTGTTATCTTAGCATTATATGCTCCAGGTATTAATTGCATTATTGTTGTTTCCGGTGAGCAGTTGGTGTTTTTATTACATCTGACACTGAATTAATTGTTTTTGCTATCTAAAATATTAACAGTTATCCTTGCAAAGAAAACTTCAGTGACTTGCAGAATCCACACTGACTCAAAGGCACTACCCAACATTATACTGGATACTTTAATACAAATTTGGAATATACATGCCCAAAAGGAAACAAAAACTGGTATCCAAGTGAACCTCCACACAGTGAACAGGTTAAAGGTATTGAGATAATAACCAAAATTATAAATTCTTTCTGTTCTACAGGGTTACTGGGGATTAACAATTTTGTCATGCTGAAGTCAACCTATAATTATGCAAAACACAAAATATCTCTTTCCCATCCAGAAAATGTATTTTACTCTTTATATTGCATAATTGACCATTAATAGAATTTAACACTAGACTTCCAATTTATATATCTAATAACAACTAGTTGGCTAAAATAGCCAACTCACGAAAATATACATAATTATTTTGAACTAAATTTTTTAAAAGTCACAGATTCCTGCTCTTTGTAATGGAAAAAAATAGTTCCGTCTTATAGTGAAAGGTCACATTTAATGACATATCCGTTAAGGTCCAAAGGTCTCCGGTTCAAACCTAAATTCCATTCTTAGATCAAGATCCCTTTGAGGTTTTGGCCATCTCTATTTACATATGGAATATGGTGAGGAGAAATTTCATATATTCTCCTTAAATAGATCTATTGCTCCATTTGTTACTTACATTTCACACAGTCCAGATATCTTAGTCTAAACTGCAGCGTTCCTTTGTGCCTGTGAAAACTAAGACATGCATAAAATAATGACATTAACTAACCTCTTTTGTTTTCTTTCTTCCGCTTTATTTCTGCTTCATAGTGTGCTCTTGACATGTTAAGTCCAGTGTGTAAAGGCTTCAAGAAATATCTCTCTATCTTGTAAAGTTCTGTCCATACACAAGTCTCAGGAAAACAGAAAATATTAAATACGATTAGTGGCACTATAACTTACAGTAAAGTCTTAATAAACATTTCCTTCAATGACATGATTTGCTGGTTTTAAAAAGAAAATGATTTAAGACATAACCTGCACTGCTAAACTGCATTTTAATCCGTTAATCCAGTGTTATAATATAACGTTTATTTTTACTCATAACTAAACTTCAGATTATCTTCTCAGAGTTTTTGACATGTCCTCTACATCAGACCTGGAGAACTGTGACTCATTAAGCTGAATGTAACTCCCCTAATCACAGAATGTGCTACATTCATGTAATAAAACAGATATTCCAGAAAGAAATTTTATTTTATTAAAGATTATATTAACTACAGATAAAACTAATTTGAGTACATAATACAGAAACATTAAATAAAAATTGAAAAGTTCAGAAAAAAGAGCAAAAAGGAGAAAAGATAAAGCCTCCTCCTTAATTCCCAGAGAGTACAATCAACATTAACAACTTATCACTATCTCTTAAAATACAACCAAACTGCCTCTTTATTACATACCTCATTTCATTCTCTAGAAGCTCATCTCTAAAAGCTCATTTTTTTCATATTAATCAGCAAAAGTCTATTCTGAATATATAGCAAAAGGGAGATTACCAAAGATTACTATTGGCCTTAGAAAGTTGTAAACAGATTAAGGGCTCAAATGAACTTAAGACTTTGAAGTTAATTTAAAGGATCCTTTCTCCTGGGGAAATTCCCTTGTTTTTATTGGGAAGCTGATATGATGCCTTGAAGGTTGGATACTAGAGGGCAACAAATAGCTACCCTAAAAGAAATGTTTACTGAATGGGTGTACAGTAGCTCTTTTGAGTTATTTAACTCTATAATGCAATCAGAAGATGTTCTTGAAGAGGAACAAATTCCACTGAATAAAACTGAAATTGTTTTACAGGTGGACTTAAAAATTGTAGCCTACAAGAAAGAGAAGGAAATAATGGATTTACAAATTAAATTGGATAAAGATTTAAACAGTTAAAAGTTATACAAATAATAAGTTATAACAGCAATGGGATAATTTTGTTTTATTTCATTTACAATAGAGATTTGTTGCAGTTGCCACACTGGCATTATAAAAGGGACTTGACAAAGGTGAGAAGAGACAAAGAGTACGAGAAAACATATGTTAGAACTTTCTAAGAGGAATTTAGAAACTGTTGAGAGAAAGAAGAAAGATTGCAAAACTGATCTAGTTGATTAGGTTTATGATTACGTTTAATGGTTTTTCTGATTGGGACTGGACTTTGATAAACTAAAGATAGGAAATGGGGGGAATCTGTTTAAATAGAAATGAAGATATAAATATAGAAGAAAAGATTCCAATTGGGAGTAATAGCTAAAGTTTGTAATACTTATTTTGTTACTTCTGATAAAGTAACAACAAGAGACATGTTGAGCTCTTGTCAGATCACTGACCTGGATGATTAACAGAACAGAAATGTGCAGCATGTAATAGCATTTGCCCCAAGCATTTGGACCAGCTTTTTGGGGTGGGGGGGGGCAAGTAGAAGAAACAGGAGTTACATGTAATTTACTGTATTGCATTATTATTTTATTGATGCCTTAGTGAGAAATAAGTCAACAGAAAATACTGCTTTAGGGCTGTAAATGATTGGTCCCCAATTTAGAAAATGGTCTGAATGTCATTAAACCATGTCTTAGTGCATAAAACTGCCCATAAAATCTTATAATCCTGTAACACAGGAAGTTTTATGGCATAAACAAACTACAGCTGCTCCTTAAAATCACATCATTTGTGATTTTCCATTCTTGAAATTATGTCAAGTTAAGGAAAAAACTTTATAAATGTTGTATTTCAAAGCAAACTCCAAGCATGTTTTATTATACATGCATTAAGAGGAAAAATGCATAGTGCAACAGAATGCACATTACTTTAGTGACAAGTTCCCCTTTTTTGTGTGTCTATGCAGTATTAACCTGCCATTTCCTAGTTAATTAGATGTTCAGCCTCAAGTTGATATAGAACTCGTTGGTGGTTTTGGAATAAGTACCCCTTTCCTCAGACTGAACTTGGCAAAGAACTAAATTTACAATTGTTTTCCCATGATTAATGAATAATAGCTAAACAGCATGAACCTAGAATACATTAGGGGAAAAAATCTGATCAAAGTTAGTTTCAAAATTTTAATATAAATTGTTCCCTTGATTACCACAAACCATTTGCCCATCATATCAGCTGCATAAGGACAGAAACTTGAAAAAAAAATTATATCAATCATTATGAAAAGCTGCGACAACCACTGAATATTAAGCTGGATAAGCATCATTATAAAAAAAACTGATGCAAGATGGACTTGCTAATGCAGTTGTGTCAAGCCACCGAAAGATGTCATATAAAAATATTGAAGTAACTTAAACAGTGGGGGAAAAAAATATTTGATCCCCTGCTGATTTTATACGTTTGCCCACTGACAAAGAAATGATCAGTTTATAATTTTAATGGTAGGTTATTCCAGAAAAACGCATTTCAAAAAATTTATAAATTGATTTGCATTTTAATGAGTGAAATAAGTATTTGATCCCTTCGCAAAACATGATTTAGTACTTGATGGGAACCCTTGTTGGCAATCACAGAGGTCAGACATTTCCTGTAATTGGCCACCAGGTTTGCACACACCTCAGGAGGGATTTTGTCCCAGTCCTCTTTGCAGATCCTCTTCAAGTCATTAAGGGTTCGAGGCTGACGTTTGGCAGCTCAAACCTTCAGCTCCCTCCACAGATTTTCTATGGGATTAAGGTCTGGAGACTGGCTAGGCCACTCCAGGACTTTAATGTACTATTTCTTGAGCCACTCCTTTGTTGTGTGTTTTAGGTCATTGCCATGCTGGAATACCCATCCACGACCCATTTTCAATGCCCTGGCTGAGGGAAGGTGGTTCTCACCCAAGATTTGACAGTACATGGCCCCGTCCATTGTCCCTTTGATGCGGTGAAGTTGTCCTGTCCCCTTAGCAGAAAAACACCCCCAAAGCATAATGTTTCCACATTCATGTTTGACAGTGGGGATGTTTGTTGGGAGTCATAGGCAGCATTCCTTCTCCTCCAAACACAGCGAGTTGAGCTCGATTTTGATCTCATCTGACCATAACATTTCCAGCCAGTTCTCCTCTGAATCATTCAGATGTTTATTGGCAAACTTCAGAGGGGCCTGTACATGTGCTTTCTTGAGCAGGGGACCTTGTGGGCGCTACAGGATTTCAGTCCTTCACGGTGTAGGGTATTACCAATTGTTTTCTTGGTGACTATGGTCTCAGCTACCTTGAGATCATTGACAAGATCCTCCCATGTAGTTCTCAGCTGATTCCTCACCATTCTCATGATCACTGAAACACCACGAAGTGAGATCTTGCATGGAGTCCCAGGCCGAGGGAGATTGACAGTTATTTTGTGTTTCTTCCATTTGCGAATAATCGCACCAACTGTTCTCTGACCTCTGTGATTGCCAACAAGGGTTTTGCCACCAAGTACTAAGTCATGTTTTGCGAAGGGATCAAATACTTATTTCACTCATTAAAATGCAAATCAATTTATAACTTTTTTGAAATGCATTTTTCTGGAGTTTTTTTTATTGTTATTCTGTCTCTCACTGTTAAAATAAACCTACCATTAAAATTGTAGATTGATCATTTCTTTGTCAGTGGGCAAACGTACAAAATCAGCAGGGGATCAAATAATCCCCCCCCCACTGTACATAGAAATACAAAAAAAAACACAAAACCATTTACCTACTATGCTTTATTTGTAAATATGTGAAAACTAATCAGAAGAGAAATCATATTAAATTATTTTCCTTGACTTCTGAGACTAAGAAAAAACATTTTAATTGAATTAATTTAAAAAAAAATTTTTTAAAAATGTCTCTGTCACCCCTTTTCTTCTGGATCATTCTGCTCTGAGGATTTAGGAATCTCCAGAAACTCTTACTAGAAAATTCCCTTTATTCCCAGAATTATTCCCAGTGATAAAACTACCACTAAGCAAGCCTTACATCTATTTAGGGCAGGGGTAGTCAACCTTGGCTCTTTTATGACTCGTGGACTTCAATTCCCAGAATTCCTGAGCCAGCTTAGCTGGCTCAGGAATTCTGGGAGTTGAAGTCCACGAGTCATAAAAGAGCCAAGGTTGACTACCCCTGATTTAGGGGATGTATATCAGATGGGAACAACACCATCACCCACTGGCAGTTTGGTGGGTGGTGACTGTTCCTCACTGCTTATGGGGCCAGCATGGCTCCCATAGGGGCCTTATATTTATTTTTGACTATAGGTAGAGAAGCTCCATGTCTTCGATATATTCTATCTGAGGACAGCAAAGAAGAGCAATGGAGGCTTCTTATGAGCGCAATATATAAGCCCTTCAATCAAAATTATGGCAGCTGGAGGGAAAGAGAGAGAAGTATTGCTGCTGTACACAGGCTGAATAGGCAGCTGGAGCCAGCAAACCTGCTCAGACCCAATCCCATTGGGATGAAGTTTGGCATTCTTTTTTTTTTTCCAGTTTTCCAAATAAAAATGAGATTAATTTTCTAGTAGACACATGCTATCCAGCATGTGCTACTGAAATGAAACATTAAGCAAATAATGTTGCATTAGAATCCCAGAGTTTTCAAGTGAAACTGAACCATGCCTAACCGATGAAGTAAACTTGGAAGCATCCAATTCAAGGCAGCTTTTATTTCTTAGTATATATAGCTAGAACCAGAATGCAAGGTTGTACACTTCAGTAATCAACATTACTTCAGGGCAATTACAGTAATTTGTTTTTAATAGACTAGGGATGTCAGATAGCTTGCATGATTGGTTTATGTTGACTGACTAGTTACAGAAAGAAGCACATTTGAAAATCAGGTCAGAGAGCAAAGCTTGAAAAAAAAAAAGGAGATGAATGTACAAAAGAGTAACAAATAATCCAGAAATGGAGGCAATATCCTGCTTGGTGCTTGAGAGGCATAAAATATGTGCTGGGGCAGACTTGAACTCTGAAAAAGGCTCCTGACAGCTATCAACCCTCCAGCAGAACAGATTTAGCTCTGGAGGATTGTTTGGTAAAGCATAATTTACCAACAGCAATTATATTGCTGTGACCTGGGTCCTTTGCTCTCCTCTTTCTTCTTTCCCTTGACTGACTTGAAAAGCTAAATTTACCCTTCTTCTTGTCTTGAGGCATCCTCAATTCTACATCTTACCTAAGAGAGGATATGTTAAGAACAGCTATAAAGATTCTCAGAAGAAAGCAGGGCAGATGCTCAAAAAGGCTCATAGCTGACTCTTGGCAAATGCTTGGATAAGTCCCTGCTGTTTTCTTGGCAAGATTTTGGAAGCTAAGATTCCTAGGACTGAGAATGAGTGACTGGTCCAAGGTTACGCAGCTGGCTTTGTGCCTAAGGAGGGACTAGAACTCACAATCTCCCAGATTTTAGCCTGGTGTCTTAAATCACTGCACCAGATAGAGTCTCTTTAGCAAATTATACTAATAAACGAGAATTCAGTTCAACCTGATCTTATTTAGAGAATGAAGTTGCAATAGGAGTCAGAAAGTCAAAGTTCTTCAGCATTTTCCATGGGACTTAAAATTATTGATTCAAAATAAAGTTTGCATGAATAAACTGTTCCAATTGCTGTTTTTCCCCATACACAGACAGGAGAAAAATATATAACATTCCCTTCTAGCTGTATAAAGAAATATCTTTTATATATATAAAAAAGCAGGCACATACATTGTTACACGAGATTCAAATTGCAGAAAGATTTTAAGATGTTACTTTTGCACCTAGCTACTAATTGGATCACTCAAAGGTATTGTTATATTTGTTGCTATTCAAAAAATACAAATACAAATTCTAATTTGAATTTCTAAAACATGCAAATCAAAGGAAAAATCTCTGCCCCCTTGCTTGGGGCTCCCATAGGACCACAGAGCAGTGGAGCTGGCAAGCGTCCTGAAGACCCTCTCCCTGTTTTTTTAATTCTGAAGATTAAGTATTTTTGCCTTTTAATATAATTTTATATACAGTTTTTATGTTTTTATATTTTACTTGTACACCACCCAGAGACCCTCTGTGAGGGAGAGGAGCAGTTTTTAAAATTGATTAATAAAGTCAAGACTCATCCAATATTTCAATATTATTTCAGTTGTACCATTTTTAAAGGTCTACAATGACACAATCTATCATTCTCTCTCATGTAATTTTTTTCATACAATCATTACAGAAGAAATTTTTTCTTAAAAAAAAAATACCTTATTGACATCTTCATTATCCTTAATAAGTAAATATCTCAGCAAATTCAGTGAGGCCATTATCCTGAAAATCAGAAATGTTAAATAATCAGCTTCATAAAATATTCCTCAAGCACTGATATATTCATTTATGACAACTATTTCCAATTCCGTATTTTTTTCATCAGACACAGAAAAATTACAGGATTACAAAGGATCCTTAATATTTCCATTGCATAAATGGCAATGTATATTCCTCCAGATGTTGTATTTATTACTACTGACCAATAACAGTAACAACATTTTGATCTTTACTACTCTACTGGGAAAAAATTTTCAGCTTACCTAGTAGCCTTGTACCCTGCCTCTATTTTTCACCATTAATAAAAATACTGGCAAATGTTGAGCTTATGTTGAGTTCCAACAAATAACTTATGTTTCATGCTTGTTGTTAAACTTATATCAATAATGTACAGTATTATATCTGCAACACATTTGAACAGCTTCATAGTTAGCATCTTAATAAATGTTGAGATTAAGTGACTGGCAAAAGCAAAATGACCTATCTGAATTAGTGAATCAATTCTTCCACAAACAGATTTTTAACAGATTATCTTTTTGATTTAATAGTGCCTTTTGTTATCAGGAACGCATTAAGTTGCTTATAAATTCCAATGGAAACCTCAAATAAGCAAAATAACTCTTAGAAAGTTAATTTTGTTAACAAATTGTAAGAACTTTAATGAAATACCTCAGAGAATGTCAGCCCTTCAAGATACAACAGACCTAAACACCAAAGTTATGAATACTAAAACTAATTTTTCATTATAGGATTGGATTAATCAAACTTTGCAACCCTGAATGTGCCTCCCACTGCCTGTCTAGCCTAAAGAGAACTATGGAGAATCAAGTCGGAAACATTTTTTTCAAATTCCACTCTTGCTTGACATTCACTTTTTTTAAAATCTGACAGTTACTTTTGCTGCGGCTCTTAGTTCTGTTCCTCAGTTATTTTCATAGCCCATTACAAGTAGCCCTTTCTTAATGACCAATTGCTTAGCAACTGTTCAAAGTTACCCCCAAAAGGTACTTACAGCCCGATTTCCAAGTTCCAATGGCCACACGTTCCACTGCAAGTCACATGATCGCATTTCGGGCATTTGGGAACCACTCACCTTTATAGTCATTTCCAGCGTCCCAGGATCACGTGATCATGATTTCCTATATTTTTTGTCAATTTCTGGCCTTTATTTCTGGTTTCCAGCAAAAAAATGCCCATTGGATAAAATGGATTGGCTTAATAAACATGGTATTCACTTAACAACCACCATCCCCCCAAAATGGGTGTGGTTACATGGTGATCCAGTTGACGATCATACTGACTTAGAACTGTAATGCCAAGCTTGATTATATTGTAAATCGAGGGCTACCTCTACAGAGAGATACCTTTATGTGACCTTTATCACATCTCACCTGTCTGAGTGCTGGAGGAGATCAGTTTCAGCACCTTCAGGAAGTGAGAGCACCGTGTCCAACAGAGAGACCAGCTGGACTCCAATAAAAAACCTGCTGCCTTCTGCCCTCTGGGAAATAAAAAACATAACACAAGAAAGAGTAGTAAGTGCTTCCTATATTGTCTGCATTACTATTATAGCTAAAAGCTTTCAAAAACAAATTTACTGAATTGTTACTCCAACTACCCGTAAGTCTGTTTAATTTCCTTCCTTTATTGCTTCTTTCTCTTAATTTAAACTGAATTCCAAAAGCACTGTGCATAGTCTAAACTAGATGACCCATTGGACCAGGAACAGGGCAAAAAAAAAAAAACATTTTTAAAGCATTGTCGTGAGAAGCTGGCAGGAAATGTCGGAAATCACAAACATGTGATCATGGTTGGTTAGCTAACTATGGCAGTACTGCAGTTGTCACAGGTTTGCAAATGCAACTGGTCTGAAGATCTTTGAAATTTCAATTCCACGGGAGTAATGGGTCCTAGATTCTGTATGCATTCTTTTAACAATAGCAATAGCACTTAGACTTACATATCGCTTCACAGTGCTTTATAGCCCTCTCTAAGCGCTTTACAGAGTCAGCATATTGCCCCCCCAACAATCTTGGTCCTCATTTTACTGACCTCGGAAGGATGGAAGGCTGAGTCAACCTTGACCCGGTGAGAATCTAACTGCCAAACTGCTGGCCGCCAGCAGAATTAGCCTGCAATACTGAATTCTAACCACTCCACCACCACTCAGTTTTAAGTTTGAGACACTATGATTCAAAAACTGTTGCCCTATGATGCACCATTTCAGGTAAGTGAAGGTTACAGACAGACAGACAGGAGAGTTTTAGTAGTATATAGGTAGATATAATTGAACAGGCCTGATCCTCACTTAAGTTCACAACAATAAAACCCCAAAGTCACATTTGGAATTCATTGCATAAAATCTCCTAAATGTATTTTAATCTACATGGATCAATCCACAATTTTCAAGATTTGTAAAAACAATTTATTCAAAAATCTCTCATTTAAATGTAGTCATAAAAAGTATTGAAAAGAGAAGTGAGTGTCAGCCAAGACAGTATGATAGTCAGAGGGGCGCTGGCATATTCTGACATGCCATGCAGTTTTAATATCCAGATAACCACTAAACCAGAAATAAGTAATTAATTTTTATTCTGCTTTCACATATGTTCATAACTTCAATGGTACTATTGGAGGCTGGAGGGGGGAGATATAAGATAACTAAAGTAATGTTCATCCTGTAACTACAAAATTAAACAACCCAACAGGGTTATGTCGACTGGAGGGCTGGGGAAGTTTCACAGCTAATTCTATAACTAATGTAATGTTAGAATATCAATCTTTTCAGTTTAATTTAAGCATGATAGGAATTTTAGAGCAAAAGGGGGAAAAATCAGCCTGTTCTTTTTATAGAAGCACTAATACATAGAAGTATTAACTCTGCCAGAATGTTATCTGCTAGAGAACCCATTGCATTCCAGCTTTTTTTTTGTTTGGTTGGTAAGCCTCAGCCATTTATTTGAATGAGAACAGAATAAATCTGGTATTATGCTCTGCCCAGATTATGTTACGGCAATTCACTAACATAGAAACACATTTGTTGTAAGGGTACTTTTTCAGAGAAATTTTTAAATATTAGGTATCCAGGGGTGGCGGTGGGAACCCCCAGACTTATGGTCTTGGGGGACTTCAACCTTCCATCAGCGGGCGAGACGTCGGCGGCAGCTCAGGAGTTCTTGGCTTCCATGACGGCCTTGGACTTGACCCAGTTAATTCAGACCCCCACCCACACGGGTGGACACACACTAGATCTAGTTTTTGTCTCTGGCCAGTGGCAGAGTGATC